TTTTAATAAATATACATCAAGGTGGCTTGTACCTTGGTCAAAAACCTAATCTGTAAAGTACGTCGAGTAATATAAAGAGACGACATATCGCAATTAAGTAATGATATGGTTTGCATTTTATAATTGAGTATTAAACACCTCTGGAGATCAAGTCGTTTGTCTGTGAACAACGTTGTCCGTCAAGTAGCTGAGATAGCATGGTAGGGGTGGAAACTCGGTAACATCCTTTGCGGAAGTCGTGTCCGCATGACTGAAAATATGTACATATAACCGTATTTTGAGTTGATTAAAATCTCCCATAACACCGTACAGTGGTGTAGTGCTGTAGTTTCGAGGACTGTATCTCTGCAAGGTATGTCGATGCCAGTGGGTTACGATGCAGTATCAAACAGAAAAGACTAGACATATAGTACCTGTTGCGAATGATATACATATATCAATGGTTAAAGTAAACTTCTTGAATGTTTTATAGTCCGGAAGCCAGCTGCCATTTTTCATGACCAATAATAAGAAAGCTGAAATGTTGTAGTATGGTTCATTTAGTATTGCTAATAAACGTAGTAGCGGTGTGTGTAGTTGCGGCAGCCATCCGAAGATGTATAATTATGATGAACAAAAACCAATATTAAGAACGCTGAGATTTTGTTTGTAGGTTGATTACTATTAACGAAAAAAAGTAGCCAGCTGACTTTTTGGTGGTGGGTTGTACATCAGCTTCACGCCTTAACATGCGAAAAGTGTGCGTGGAGTAAATTAATATTAAGAAAGCTGAAATTTGAGGAAGTGATGGTCGACTTTAACAGTTTCACGAAATAAATCGTCCACGGTGGAAAAGTGCTCAGCTGATCACTTAAAGATACGGCGTATCGCTATGCGCGCGGGGGTCTAGAATTATTAACTGCATCAGCTGACCATGTTTCCACTGCGAAAAGCTCAGCGGACATTTTTTTCGTGTAACTGTTACCGATAACTATTAGTTTAAAAAGTTTCAGCTTTCTTGGGTTCCGATTACTAGTAATTCTTCTTAATTAAACAGTGTTTATAGTATATGGGCACGACGCGTTGCGCCTGTCATGTCATGGCATGCTTCTCTCTCATGCTAAATTATACTTTTAAATATCTCATTCTAAACAGTACATACCTACTATTACCGGGTGGTGCACGGTAAGTAGGGATTAACATGGGAAATTAGTTTTATGCAATATCCTGCCCTCCTGTACATTTTACAGAAAAAACTGTAGAGTTTAAAGTTGTTCCGAATTAAAAGGTGCATACAAAACTGTTTTTACATGTTTTATTAAGCTTTTGGTATACCCGCAAATTTAAAAATAAATTTCAACATTTCTGTTATAGTAACAATAGCCATAAATTTTGTTGTTTTATGAACTGCTAAACCGACCGATCTGAATCCATTTGAAAATTAACATGCTATAAAGACTATTATATGAAAAAGTAAGGTACGCTTTTTAGGGTGCCATAGCTACGCTCGCTTGTTTGTAACTGTCAACAAAAGTTAAGAATTTTTTATTTTAGTAAAATCATTCCTGTAAATCCTTCTAAAAATATTGAAAACGAAAGTGACGAAGCATCTGAAGGCGCTTCTTTCATCCCCTAAGATGTCACTCGCTGATAAAGGTTAGTTTGTGTAAAACATTGCATGTTCATGCTTCCAAAGTTTGTGGTTGTAGTGACAATTATGGATATTGGAAGTTGCAGCTTGCAGTTGCAGATCAGAGGAATTGTTAAAAATGAACGTAGACTACATAGAGGATGGAGAATGTTAGAATTCTAGATACAAAAACTAAAAGTCAAGAGTTTTTAGCGCATTTCCACAAAAATTTAAAAAAAATGCGCTATTGTGGCCACTTTGTCCGTCCGTCCGTCCGTCCGCTAACTTTGCGACGCTACTAGTTTTTTTATCTTAAGAGCTATTGTTCTACTTTTTTCGCTATTTGGTTCGTTATGGTGTCGAGTCTTGTACCAAGGAAGGAATTTTTTCGGTACCGCTTACAAAAAAAGTTATTGTAAAAAAAACAAAAAACCGTTTTTTACATGTTCCATAATTTTACACTTTTGCCGTTTATTAACGATCCTAGAGATCGTTTATAATTTTGCATTGCTATCTGTCGCCTGCCGGTTGGTCTCTCCGTCTGTTCCTTTGTCTGTCTGTCCATCTATCTGTCCGTGTGAACGATAACTTTGTTTAGAAATGTTCGATCGCTTTTACATCTCCGTTAGTTATGAACTGAATTGCATGAAATTCAATATGGGCATAGCTTTAGCCATATAATACGCAATGCCAAAAGTTGAATCGAATCGATTCAAAATTCACAGTGCCCTTTTCGCATCTCGACCATTTATAAACCGAATTGCAAACTTTTTTACTTATAAAAGTATTTAAACGAAATTTGATACATAGGCACTTGGGATAAAGGAAAATCAAACGCCAATTTCAAAATTTGGTTTTGCGCATGCGCAGTGCCAACTTTTTTATTTATGGAAGAATTTAAACGAAATTTGATACATAGGCACTTGGGATAAAGGAAAAAATCAAACGCCAATTTCAAAATTTGGTTTTGCGCATGCGCAGTGCCAACTTTTTTATTTATGGAAGAATTTAAACGAAATTTGATACATAAGCACTTCGAATAAAGGAAAATCAAACGCCAATTTCCAAATTTGGTTTTGCGCATGCGCAGTGCCAACTTTTTTATTTATGGAAGAATTTAAACGAAATTTGATACATAGGCACTTGGGATAAAGGAAAATCAAAAGCCAATTTCAAAATTTGGTTTTGCGCATGCGCAGTGCCAACTTTTTTATTTATGGAAGAATTTAAACGAAATTTGATACATAGGCACTTGGGATAAAGGAAAATCAAACGCCAATTTCAAAATTTGGTTTTGCGCATGCGCAGTGCCAACTTTTTTATTTATGGAAGAATTTAAACGAAATTTATCCATAGGCACTTGGGATAAAGGAAAATCAAACGCCAATTTCAAAATTTGGTTTTGCGCATGCGCAGTGCCAACTTTTTTATTTATGGAAGAATTTAAATGAAATTTGATACATAGGCACTTGGAATAAAGGAAAATCTAGCGCCAGTTTCAAAATTTTATTTTGCGCATGCGCCGTGCCAACTTTTTTATCTATGGAACTATTTAAGTGAAATTTGATACTTAGGCGCTTGGAACAAAGGAAAATCTTAGTTTATTAGTTAGTTATAGTAAATTAGTTTTAAAATTTAGGTTTGCGCATGCGCAGTTCCAACTTTCTTATTTAGAAAAGCATTGAAATGAAATTCTTCTCATAAACTGAAATTGAAGTAGCACGTCAACAATGGATTGCCCATGTGCAACGCTATCTTTCATATTTGTGGCCGGATTTTTACGATTTTAACAGAAGTTGCATCTTACAAATGGGAAATGAATGCAAGTGGAAATGCGCTTTATGTAAATCGTTTACGATTACTTTTTAACTTGTTACTCTAAAGGGGGAGACAAATACTTAGTAATCTCATTCATCAGTATGGTACGTCTGTAACAAATGCAATTAGTAAACCAATACTTTATGCTATTTTCCTATAACCGGCAATAAATTTGTTAGCGTATTTCTCTGAGCAATATCTCAGTTCAGCCCAGCTAAAATAACAATACGCAGTTTCAAATAATAATAATAATAACATCCCAAATAATGGTGAATCTACCAATACAAAATACGCAGTTTGTCCGCAAGGTACCCGATATATTTAAAAGAATGATCTATCATGCCAGGCTATAAACATAAATGTGTTCAAAGGATTGTCATGTTCCGTTTTAAAACGTGAATTGAATACATTACGAAAGTGATTGTTTCGATGGACCGTAGTAGAATACGTTATTTATTACCAAAATTTCAATAGTGATTATGATAGAAAACTGCCGTTGCTTATTGTAATGTTATTAGGAATAAGCTGTAAAACGACATGAAAGGATTACCTACAACTTACAAAGTTTCGAAAAGCTTAAATGTTAGTTGTCGGAAGTAGAGAATTCTAATTTAAGTATGTCTTTTAACGATTATTATAACAACATATTATTATGATAAGATACCATATACCTTCTACACACTATAAGCTGTGCTATAAGTATAATAACCGCAAAGCTTTGTAGCCTATTCGGAATACCATACATTTTATTTTATTGTAGTAACATTCTCACAGTAGCTTGTAATCCGCTATTTGTAATCCCATTTGCGTGACTTAAAACAAAATAATTCATGCAGACTGCGCTAATTTCTATTTTTAGACAAATTCCACTTATTCAAACCATATTAAGAATTTGAACGCCATAAAAAAAGTCCCATATGGCGGGGATTATAAATACTTAAATCATTTAGGGAAAGAGTCATACCTATACGATAAATTTGACTTTTAAATTTCACTCCGCTTTTAGAGTTTGTATTTGACTGTCGTATTGTTTATGCAATAATAATAATGACGCAATTTGATGTATTAAATCATCGCTTACTATTGGTTTATAAATATTAATTATTCGTAGTAATTCTTTGCATAATTGAATGATGAAGTTAGCTCACGCGTTTCTCAATGAATATTTTATAAATTGACTGATAGTCTTTATAATATAAATACTGAAGTAGGTACATAGCGTGAGCGTGATGGGATTATTATCGGTTTTAGTGCTTTTTCTTGTTGCAGTCTGCGGTGTAGTCGACCAACTAATTATGCAGACATTGTATAAATAAGTACCGGACTTTAATATGAATTTTAATTACCGTAAAAGGATATAGTTTTTGGAAGAATTCGCCATTCAAATTAGCCACTGCAAAATTATAGCTATGAGCATCAACTGCTTCTATTTGTGACTGGAATCGCCCATGCTTTCAACGCAACGGGTCCTTGATTCTTATTGAAAAAGTAAGAAAGTCGTTATAGCTACGAAGGCTACGACCGAGCGACGGGCCGTTTTTACTATTATATTCGTTATGGCTGACTGGCTAGCAGAAATTACAATAGCTAGAGACTTCAAGTTTGCTTCTGAGACAAAATGACATATGGTATATGCTCGTATATATGCAACGCATATTCACCGCATATACTTTTGGCCAACAAAGGTATACGAGTATCCTATATAGCGTTGGGCAAAAAAATCGATTAATCGATTATAATCAAACGATAATCGATAATCGGGTTTGATTATTCTATTAAATTAATCGATTAATCGATTATTTGATTAATCCATTATTTGATTAATCGATTATTTGATTAATCGGTTATTTGATTAATCGATTGTTTGATTAATCGATTATTTGATTAATCGGTTATTTGATTAATCGATTGTTTGATGAATCAATTATTAAGTAAATTTTAATTGATTATTATTAGCTGGATCATCAGTTTACGCAAAAAGGAGCACTCACAGCTCACAAGTATTATTTTATTTTATGGCGGATGTTAAAACGTCACTTTAAGCAGCTAAAATGAATTAAGATCAAAACTAAAGCACACCTCATCGGAGAGTAAGCTGCCTAATCATTTATTTTTATTTATTTATTTTTATTTTTGACCTTCATTTTCAAATGGGCTGGGTTTCAGCCAAGGCTGTTCTACCAACCAACCCACTATGCATTTGCAAATATCCATGCCCGAACCCGGATTCGAACCAGGGACACTTTGTTGATTATTGATTAATCGATCTCCCTAGTAATGAACGATTTGATGAAAAGAGTAATGGAATTATTTTTTATTTTTATTATTAAATAATTAACGTATTAATTCATACAAACAGATATTTATCATGTATGTGACAATCGACTTTTGATTAAACGATTAGGTGATTAATCGATTATTTGATTAATCGATGATTTGATTAATCGATTAATCGATATTTGATTAATCGATTATTTGATTAATCGATTATTTGATTAAACGATTATTTGATTAATCGATTATTTGATTAATCGATTATTTGATTAAACGATTATTTGATTAATCGATTATTTGATTAATCGATTATTTGATTAATCGATTAATCAGTGTAATCGATTATTTTTCATAATCGATTATCGATTATTCAAACCCGTAATCGCCCAGCCCTAATCCTATAGGAATAGCCTCAACGTATATTTCACATAGTACCTATTTTACAATATTCGTTGTATATTTTGGATTAATCAAGTGTGTTATGATGTGAGAATTATCTAGCGACCGCATTTTCAAAAAAATGCTTTTGATTGTACCACGATACACTTACAACGGTATGCTCTTGCGCATCTAGAGTGACGTCACGTGCGAACAAAACCACAGAATATAGAGCAAAATTTCGCTTCTTAGATCGACAAATCACACTGATTTTGTGTAGAGATCGTCGGGGCGGGTATTTCCTGTGATTTGGTGATCGTATGAAATAAACTCGAATCAAAAATATTGGCCCTAAACATGAAGTGCGGCTTTTTCAGTAAATATTATGTAATTAATGCCTTATTAAAAGATGGAATTTCTCTTCCGTTTCCATTTTATTTTGATTTTCATTATTACGTGGTAGTTTTAAAGTAGGTAAAGCATCAGGTTTCAAATGTCCGCTGTTTTTAAAAGTAGGTTTAATTAAGAAATCGTTCCCTTAGCGGTGCTTCAAAACGGCTGGCTTCAACATGTTCAGAGCAAATACAGGCTATGGAATTAAACAGCAATGGAAAGACTTAAATACACCACTTAATATTAATGTAACACCATTTATCAAGTTAATTTTGTCGTTACGACGACTTGCAACAATCCATTTTTGAGAAAAGTTTTCAATTTTCCGAAATCGAAAGTATTTTATTTCCGTTCGTTTTGTTTTTCTATTAGAATTGCCCCATTGAGCCACTGCAGAACCTGGCATTTTGGAAATTTCACTAATGATTAATTAGCTATCAACAAATTAACGCTAAACCTCGTAGATACAAGATACTTATAAGTTGCAAAACTGTCACGCGTGACATGTGTACTACTAGATCGGTCCTGGCGTAAACATTTGAATTTTGGCGCCACATGTTCGCAGGTGACGTAATGCGCAGTAGAAAACGCGTTTGAGAAAAATAATGAGCATACCGTGTGTAAATGTATCGTGGATTGTACCGAAAATAAACCTCCGAGTAAACCTCATATATTTAACACATTGATTAATAATGTTAACTCAAAACACAGAAGGTTGCAGCGGTATCTAACAAATACTCCAAGATAAGAAAAAAATATAAATGCTAAACAAGGACTTATTATTTTGATATTGCACATACAAATCACACGCACCTACCACTTGAGGTAAATTTTAAAAAAGCAAAGGCTAAGGCGAACTAATTTTGAAATACTTCAGGCTGGCCAATAGAAAGTCTGTAAAACGACGCGATACATTCCGCGCCATAATTATTAATTATTCCATTTTGACAGTTGACGCTTCACGTTATTTTAGTTTACACTTTGCTTTTTGTATTTGCTTTATTTTACGTTTTCCTCCTCTAGTTTTTTACCAACTCGTCTTTTTCAAGACGCATATACTCGTAGCTTGGATCTACGATCTAATAAGGTATGTAATTCCCTTAAAGTGTTTTTAAATTTTGCATCAGAATGTCGGTCTTCATTTCTAGCGCCCTCGGACACGCCCTGTCAGGGACTTTCTGAGCTTGGTACCACTGTACATTGGCCCATATGAATAAAAGGAAGCATACGCTTATACTTGAAAAATTCAAAGTAAATACTCGTAAGAGCCCTTTCACACTGGGCTGCTCAGCAGCGCTACGCTGCGTCTCGTCTCGCTGCTCAGCAACGCTGCCAAGTCGCCAAGTGTGAAGGGGCTCTTACAAGTAATTACTTTGCATTTTGCAAGTATAAGCATATGCTTCCTTTTATTCGTATGGGCCATTGATTATTAGTAATTAAATAATTAATCAATCTCGAAACCCACTTGAACACAAATTAATTAAAAAAAATTCCCTTAATTTAAGGACTTCACTGTACAATAAGCTAAGTGGCAATAAAAAGTTTTATACCAATTACCTACACAAACAAAGCAATTGTCCTTCCATTTCCTTTTCCAAAAACAATAGCTACCTACCTACAATTGTTGCTAATTAACGGATATAACTTTGTGTAATTAACATACCAATTAATTATTATGGAAAAATAATCAAAAAAAAACCAACCACAATTTTTTATCGCCTAGCATTTGATATCTTCGGTTAGGTGCTATAATGATCGTAATATTGCAAAAAATAAACTATTTCAATTCTTTTCATGTCTATAAATTATATGATTTCTGCTCGATCCCCATTGAAATTCCGTTAATACAAACTTTTGGGTACATTTCATCAAATGGAACGAAATTGTGTATAAATGGCATTTTTACAATCGAGTTTACAAAATTTGTCCTTGCCATTATCATTTTTTATACGAAATTATGGCATTGTTAGTGGCGAAACTTTAGAATCATATCATTATTGTATGGAAGATTATTTTTTGCCTTTATTATTCAGTGAACAGTTTTTATTATGATTTCATTATTCGCATTTGCGTACATATCTGCAGGAATATACTATACTAATAATTCTATCAAACGTATAGAGGGGACACACACGCAGATGGGCACACAGAACACATTAGTAACAAATTTAAATTCCATAATGCTTTTTGTAGGTTCCAACGCCAACCATCTTTGCCTTAACTGTGTGTCCGGTTGTGGCTCAAACAAACCCAAGTGGTTCAAAATCGGTTTTGATTTTTGAAGCGTGTTCAAAATGCAAATTTGTGTTTTTGAAAACAATGCTGGCAATTTTGGGATATTACAGATTTCAAAATTGCATATGAAGGCGACCTAACTTTATGCAACCAAAATAGCTTCGTAAAACAAAGATCTAGCTATCATATTCATTAATTTGAATATTGTTGCTTTGGTTTCCGTATTTTTATTTTCGTTCGGGTGCGATGGTTTCAACTGAAAAAAAGTTGATATTGTCAATTGGTATAGCGGCAACAGTTTAAGGAGTATAAGAGATATTTTCTGTGACGGCAAAGCAAAAATATTCAAATTGATTAATACTACAGCCAGATCTTTAAATGTTTTAAGAAGTTATTTTGGATGTATAAAAAGTTGCGCTCTTTAGAAGAGATTTTGTCATTTAAAAGTAGACAGGGAAAAACAATAGGTACACGTAAATCCCTATGTCTACTTCTTAATAAATAGCACTGTATGTGCAAAATGTACATTTTATTGTGTTTGTGGAAGCTAACGTAGGCCACGGTTTGTGATATTGTTAGTCCTTTTTCTGGGAAAAAGCCAAGCCGTTTTGATAATGAAATTCCGTGTGAAATTCTCAACGTAACTGAAAAGTCTTATTCTTTAAGCTTATTTTTGATTTATTTTCAGTATTATCTGGAATTGTGAATAGACATATACGATCAATCACCTCTGACATTCTATTTCGATATTAATCAGGTTGTGGTAACCTGAACATCGCTCCAGATTTATTTTGAACAAGTCGGCAGGTAATTGTTGTTTGTAATGCGATACAAAAACCGCGAGCATTTCATATTGACGGTTGTTTGCTTTATCAATAAGTTGTGGAAAATTTTACCGGTACGGATTATGTGGCCTTAAGAAAAACTTAGTGATCAATGAATAATACGGAGGCAAAGCAATAAAATAGATTAATAATGTAATAAAATAGTTCTGAGAACCCACAGTTCTGTTACATTTAATAGTTAGTGGCCGATTAAATATTACCGCAACATTATCGAGTTGAACTACCTCCTTAAGTATTCATTGCTATTGATTTGGCGCGACTTTGACGAATATTGCGTAATTTAGCAAATTTTTCCAAGTATTTTTCATGTAGAGCAAGGAAAGGTAAACGAAAGTGCATAATCAATCAATAAATCATTAATACGGAAATGCTGCGGATTAAATTCAAGTTTGTAAAATAAAGATTACGAGAGGAATATTTAACTCAGTATTAATATCGGGAAAACAAAAGTTTTTTTAGCAGCTGAATTAACCGGGGGTTCGGGGGCCTAGTTCAGAAAATACTATTGTAAGAGAATTGTCAGTAAATGTCTTAGTAAAGATAGTGTGTGTGCAAATTCC